CATTAAATTCCAGTGAAATATATTTATGTTTGTGGTTGTAATGTGACAAAATATGGAAAAGTTCAAGGGGTATGAATACTTTTGCAAACCACTGTATACAAAGATCTGATACTTTTAACCTCATCTTCCAGGCTGTTCCACAATCGTATTCCCTGGATTAAAGTGGATCGCTCCTTCAGGCTCGTACGAAACCAGGGTTTCACAAACATTTTGATTCCCGAAATGACATAATATTTCTCAATAATATCTCTCTCTTTTAACAAAATTTACTTGAATGCTGGAAGATAACACACCTTTATGAGCTCTGTACATTAACAGCAAAATATTATAATCGACCAAATCATAGAATTTCAATAATTTCAATACATAAAAAATATGTTTGATGGCTGTAATTCGTTCTAGTAATAATTCTTTATAGCTCTTTTCTGTAAAATAACAATAGAATTTGTGACAGTTTTACAAGCTTTACCCCATACTTCAATACAGTAAATTAAATGTGGAACAATTATAGTGTTATACAACATAAACAGTGATTTATCATTGAACAGTTCTCTTACTTTGTACAGGACTCCAATAGATTTGGCATTTTTTGTTCTTAAATTATTTATATGATTTTTCCATGTCAGTTTTTCATCAATAATGACACCTAAAAACTTCACTTCACTGACTCCACAGAACTCAACATCATCAATTTTGAATGAAACATCTACAGTTCTCTTACTGTTACTGAATATCATTTAATTTGTTTTGTCCAAGATGATAGTGATAAAGATGATGATAATTTTAATGATTTTAAGGATAATTTATTTAGTTGAAAACAGCTTTGTATTTTAACAAATTCTGTCTGTACCATCTCCAACATTTGTTCTATATCTTTACCGGAACAAAAGAATGTYTATCATCAGCAAATAGAACATATCCAAAAAGTCCCGACACATTGACCAAATCATTCACAAAAGAAAATAGACACCGCATAGCGGTAACATAATGACCCCCGCACGCAGAACTGCACCAGAACTCGGAAGTCTTTATTCCTAATAAATGTCATGCTATAGGTGCATCCTAAAATTGTAGTGGTTTGGATGGGGGTCTTCCTTTTTTTGAGGTGGGGGGGGGGCATTGATTGACCTGATGGATAGCCCCTCATCAGAGCTAAACAACCAAAGAAAATCTGAAGCCCCTATGTTTCATAGTTTTTGAGCAATAACCCTTTTTGTAAGTCCAGGCACCCCTTTGACAGAGAAATTGGGGGTCTGGGGGGGTGGGGGCACTGATTGGTGGGTCTGATGGATAGAGCTTCATCAGAGCTAAACAACAAAAGAAATCTGAAGCTTCTATGTTGAACAGTTTCTGAGTTTTAAGCATTTTTGCATGTCCAGACACCCCTTATTCAGATAAATTGGGGGTTCGGGGGGGGCACTAATTGGTGGGCCTGATGGATAGAGCTTCATCAGAGCTAAACAACAAAAGAAATCTGAAGCTTCTATGTTTGAACAGTTTCTGAGTTTTAAGCATTTTTGCATCTCCAGACACCCCTTCTTTTGAAAGGCACCCCCTCCTCAAATATGAGGTCTATCTTAAAATCGTTGGCTGATGCAGTGTAGGTCAGACTCCTCTACAGTCCTGCCAAATTTCACGTTTGTTGGTGCAGCCATTTTTGTGCTACGGTTGACCAAATATCACTGAAAAAAAATAAACAGTACTGAAACAATATGACTCTGGCTTAGGCTTCGCGTGCGGGGGTCATAATAACACATTCACACTCAGAGAGGTCTGGGGAGAATAAAAATGTGTCTGTTGTTTGTAGCCGACAAACAGCTCCAGTAGAAATTCACTGAACCTTTGTAGACAGTAACTTTGTTCACACCTTCATGGATGAGCACAATACCGTGACATCACCTCCTCTGAGGTATCATTGCAATCAAAGGTGCTTAGAAAACACATTTCAATATAAACATATGACTCAGACACCACACAGACAGGTGATGCAATCATTTCCAAACATTGTTATTGCTTGGTAAAATCCTCTGATAATTCTTTAGTTTATTTCCATTCATCATCCCCCCCCACCCCAAAATTCCCTACACTTGATCTCCATTACAAATGGGTTCACAGAGTTCCATCTACAGTGGTTTGCAAAAGTATTCATACCCCTTGAACTTTTCCATATTTTGTCACATTACAACCA